TGACACTGGTGTGGGTGGTGACACCAGTAACACATGGTGACACTGGTGCACATGGTGACACTGTTGCACAAGGTGACACTGTTGCACGTGGTGACACTGTTGCACGAGGTGACACTGGTGTGGATGGTAACACTAGTACAGGCGGTGACACTGGTGTGGATGGTGACACTGGTGCATGTAGTGACACTGGTGCACATGGTGACACTGGTGTGGGTGGTGACACTGGTGCACATGGTGACACCAGTACAGGTGGTGACACTAGTACATGTGGTGACACTGGTGCACATGGTGACTCTGTTGCACAAGGTGACACTGGTGTGGGTGGTGACACTGGTATGAGTGATGACACTGGTGCACATGGTGACACTGGTGCACGAGGTGACACTGGTGCACTTGGTGACTCCGTTGCACAAGGTGACACTGGTGCACGCAGTGACACCAGTACACATGGTGACACTGGTGTGGGTGGTGACACTGGTGGACATGGTGACACCAGTACATGCAGTGACACTAGTATACGCGATGACACTGGTGCACATGGTGCCTGTTGCACGCAGTGACACTGGTGCACATGGTGACAGTGATGTGGATGATGACACCAGTACACACAGGGATACTGGTGAATGTAGTGACACTGGTGTGGGTGGTGACACTTGTGCGCATGGTGACACTGGTGCACTTGGTGACTCTGTTGCACGCGGTGACACTGGTGTGGGTGGTGACTGTTGCACAAGGTGACACTGGTGCGGGTGGTGACACTGGTGCACATGGTGACACCAGTACACATGGTGACGCCAGTGCATGTAGTGACACTGGTGTGGGTGGTGACTGTTGCACAAGGTGACACTGGTGTGGATGGTGACACCAGTACAGGTGGTGATACTGGTCCGTGTGGTGACACTGGTGTGAATGGTAACACTAGTGGTGACACTGGTACTGGTGCTTGTAGTGACACTGGTGCACATGGTGACACCAGTACAGGTGGTGACACCAGTACACATGGTGACGCCAGTGCATGTAGTGACACTGGTGTGGGTGGTGACACTGGTGCACAAGGTGATGCTGGTGCACAAGGTGACACTGGTGTGGGTGGTGACTCTGTTGCACAAGGTGACACTGGTGCACGTGGTGACTGTGTTGCACAAGGTGACACTGGTGTGGGTGGTGACACCAGTACACAAGGTGACACTGGTGCACGTGGTGACTCTGTTGCACAAGGTGACACCAGTACACGTGTTGACACCGGTACACGTGGTGACACTGGTGTGGATACACCACGGGGACACGGGGACAGGGATGGGGACACCCCCCCGGCACACGGGGACACCACGGGGACACGGGGACAGGGATGGGGACACCCCCCCGGCACACGGGGACACCACGGGGACACGGGGACAGGGATGGGGACACCCCCCCGGCACACGGGGACACCACGGGGACACGGGGACAGGGATGGGGACACCCCCCCGGCACACGGGGACACCACGGGGACACGGGGACAGGGATGGGGACACCCCCCCGGCACACGGGGACACCACGGGGACACGGGGACAGGGATGGGGACACCCCCCCGGCACACGGGGACACCACGGGGACACGGGGACAGGGATGGGGACACCCCCCCGGCACACGGGGACACCACGGGGACACGGGGACAGGGATGGGGACACCCCCCCGGCACACGGGGACACCACGGGGACACGGGGACAGGGATGGGGACACCCCCCCGGCACACGGGGACACCACGGGGACACGGGGACAGGGATGGGGACACCCCCCCGGCACACGGGGACACCACGGGGACACGGGGACAGGGATGGGGACACCCCCCCGGCACACGGGGACACCACGGGGACACGGGGACAGGGATGGGGACACCCCCCCGGCACACGGGGACACCACGGGGACACGGGGACAGGGATGGGGACACCCCCCCGGCACACGGGGACACCACGGGGACACGGGGACAGGGATGGGGACACCCCCCCGGCACACGGGGACACCACGGGGACACGGGGACAGGGATGGGGACACCCCCCCGGCACACGGGGACACCACGGGGACACGGGGACAGGGATGGGGACACCCCCCCGGCACACGGGGACACCACGGGGACACGGGGACAGGGATGGGGACACCCCCCCGGCACACGGGGACACCACGGGGACACGGGGACAGGGATGGGGACACCCCCCCGGCACACGGGGACACCACGGGGACACGGGGACAGGGATGGGGACACCCCCCCGGCACACGGGGACACCACGGGGACACGGGGACAGGGATGGGGACACCCCCCCGGCACACGGGGACACCACGGGGACACGGGGACAGGGATGGGGACACCCCCCCGGCACACGGGGACACCACGGGGACACGGGGACAGGGATGGGGACACCCCCCCGGCACACGGGGACACCACGGGGACACGGGGACAGGGATGGGGACACCCCCCCGGCACACGGGGACACCACGGGGACACGGGGACAGGGATGGGGACACCCCCCCGGCACACGGGGACACCACGGGGACACGGGGACAGGGATGGGGACACCCCCCCGGCACACGGGGACACCACGGGGACACGGGGACAGGGATGGGGACACCCCCCCGGCACACGGGGACACCACGGGGACACGGGGACAGGGATGGGGACACCCCCCCGGCACACGGGGACACCACGGGGACACGGGGACAGGGATGGGGACACCCCCCCGGCACACGGGGACACCACGGGGACACGGGGACAGGGATGGGGACACCCCCCCGGCACACGGGGACACCACGGGGACACGGGGACAGGGATGGGGACACCCCCCCGGCACACGGGGACACCACGGGGACACGGGGACAGGGATGGGGACACCCCCCCGGCACACGGGGACACCACGGGGACACGGGGACAGGGATGGGGACACCCCCCCGGCACACGGGGACACCACGGGGACACGGGGACAGGGATGGGGACACCCCCCCGGCACACGGGGACACCACGGGGACACGGGGACAGGGATGGGGACACCCCCCCGGCACACGGGGACACCACGGGGACACGGGGACAGGGATGGGGACACCCCCCCGGCACACGGGGACACCACGGGGACACGGGGACAGGGATGGGGACACCCCCCCGGCACACGGGGACACCACGGGGACACGGGGACAGGGATGGGGACACCCCCCCGGCACACGGGGACACCACGGGGACACGGGGACAGGGATGGGGACACCCCCCCGGCACACGGGGACACCACGGGGACACGGGGACAGGGATGGGGACACCCCCCCGGCACACGGGGACACCACGGGGACACGGGGACAGGGATGGGGACACCCCCCCGGCACACGGGGACACCACGGGGACACGGGGACAGGGATGGGGACACCCCCCCGGCACACGGGGACACCACGGGGACACGGGGACAGGGATGGGGACACCCCCCCGGCACACGGGGACACCACGGGGACACGGGGACAGGGATGGGGACACCCCCCCGGCACACGGGGACACCACGGGGACACGGGGACAGGGATGGGGACACCCCCCCGGCACACGGGGACACCACGGGGACACGGGGACAGGGATGGGGACACCCCCCCGGCACACGGGGACACCACGGGGACACGGGGACAGGGATGGGGACACCCCCCCGGCACACGGGGACACCACGGGGACACGGGGACAGGGATGGGGACACCCCCCCGGCACACGGGGACACCACGGGGACACGGGGACAGGGATGGGGACACCCCCCCGGCACACGGGGACACCACGGGGACACGGGGACAGGGATGGGGACACCCCCCCGGCACACGGGGACACCACGGGGACACGGGGACAGGGATGGGGACACCCCCCCGGCACACGGGGACACCACGGGGACACGGGGACAGGGATGGGGACACCCCCCCGGCACACGGGGACACCACGGGGACACGGGGACAGGGATGGGGACACCCCCCCGGCACACGGGGACACCACGGGGACACGGGGACAGGGATGGGGACACCCCCCCGGCACACGGGGACACCACGGGGACACGGGGACAGGGATGGGGACACCCCCCCGGCACACGGGGACACCACGGGGACACGGGGACAGGGATGGGGACACCCCCCCGGCACACGGGGACACCACGGGGACACGGGGACAGGGATGGGGACACCCCCCCGGCACACGGGGACACCACGGGGACACGGGGACAGGGATGGGGACACCCCCCCGGCACACGGGGACACCACGGGGACACGGGGACAGGGATGGGGACACCCCCCCGGCACACGGGGACACCACGGGGACACGGGGACAGGGATGGGGACACCCCCCCGGCACACGGGGACACCACGGGGACACGGGGACAGGGATGGGGACACCCCCCCGGCACACGGGGACACCACGGGGACACGGGGACAGGGATGGGGACACCCCCCCGGCACACGGGGACACCACGGGGACACGGGGACAGGGATGGGGACACCCCCCCGGCACACGGGGACACCACGGGGACACGGGGACAGGGATGGGGACACCCCCCCGGCACACGGGGACACCACGGGGACACGGGGACAGGGATGGGGACACCCCCCCGGCACACGGGGACACCACGGGGACACGGGGACAGGGATGGGGACACCCCCCCGGCACACGGGGACACCACGGGGACACGGGGACAGGGATGGGGACACCCCCCCGGCACACGGGGACACCACGGGGACACGGGGACAGGGATGGGGACACCCCCCCGGCACACGGGGACACCACGGGGACACGGGGACAGGGATGGGGACACCCCCCCGGCACACGGGGACACCACGGGGACACGGGGACAGGGATGGGGACACCCCCCCGGCACACGGGGACACCACGGGGACACGGGGACAGGGATGGGGACACCCCCCCGGACATGGGGACCCCGCTGTGACATGAGGATGGGGATGGGGACCCCACTGTGACATGGGGACAGGGATGGGGACCCCACTGTGACATGGGGACCCCACGGTGACATGAGGATGGGGACAGGGACCCTGATGTGACACGGGGACAGGGATAGGGACAGACCCCACTGTGACGTGGGGACAGAGATGGGGACCCTGCTGTGACACGTGGATGGGGACAGACCCCATGGTGACATGGGGACAGGGATGGGGACACCACTGTGACACGGGGACAGGGACCCCGCTGTGACGTGGGGACAGGGGTGGGGACAGGGACACTGCTGTGACGTGGGGATGGGGACAGACCCCACTGTGACATGGGGACAGGGATGGGGACAGAGACACCACTGTGACACGGGGACCCTGCTGTGACATGGGGACAGGGATGGGGACACCGCTGTGACATGGGGATGGGGACAGACCCCACTGTGATGTGGGGATGGGGACAGACCCCACAGAGATGGGGACAGGGACACCCCCGTCACACGGGGACCCCACTGTGACACGGGGATGGGGATGGGGACACTGCTGTGACATGGGGACCCCACTGTGACATGGGGATGGGGATGGGGACACCACTGTGACACGGGGACAGGGACCCCGCTGTGACGTGGGGATGGGGACAGACCCCATGGTGACATGGGGACAGACCCCACTGTGACATGGGGACAGGGATGGGGACACCACTGTGACACGGGGATGGGGACAGGGACAGTACTGTGACACGGGGACCCCACTGTGACACGGGGACGGGGATGGGGACAAGGACCCCACGGTGACACAGGGACAGGGATGGACCCCATGGTGACATGGGGACAGGGATGGGGACAGACCCCATGGTGACATGGGGACAGGAGTGGGGACCCTGCTGTGACACGGGGATGGGGACAGGGATGGGGACACCACTGTGATGTGGGGACAGGGACCCTGCTGTGACACGGGGACCCTGCTGTGATGTGGGGATGGGGATAGGGACAGGGACCCCACGGTGACACGGGGACCCCACTGTGACACGGGGACAGGGACAGACCCCACTGTGATGTGGGGATGGGGACAGACCCCACAGAGATGGGGACAGGGACCCCGCTGTGACACGGGGATGGGGATGGGGACAGACCCCATGGTGACAAAGGGATGGGGATGGGGACACCACTGTGACATGGGGACCCCGCTGTGACATGAGGATGGGGATGGGGACCCCACTGTGACATGGGGACAGGGATGGGGACCCCACTGTGACATGGGGACCCCACGGTGACATGAGGATGGGGACAGGGACCCTGATGTGACACGGGGACAGGGATAGGGACAGACCCCACTGTGACGTGGGGACAGAGATGGGGACCCTGCTGTGACACGTGGATGGGGACAGACCCCATGGTGACATGGGGACAGGGATGGGGACACCACTGTGACACGGGGACAGGGACCCCGCTGTGACGTGGGGACAGGGGTGGGGACAGGGACACTGCTGTGACGTGGGGATGGGGACAGACCCCACTGTGACATGGGGACAGGGATGGGGACAGAGACACCACTGTGACACGGGGACCCTGCTGTGACATGGGGACAGGGATGGGGACACCGCTGTGACATGGGGATGGGGACAGACCCCACTGTGATGTGGGGATGGGGACAGACCCCACAGAGATGGGGACAGGGACACCCCCGTCACACGGGGACCCCACTGTGACACGGGGATGGGGATGGGGACACTGCTGTGACATGGGGACCCCACTGTGACATGGGGATGGGGATGGGGACACCACTGTGACACGGGGACAGGGACCCCGCTGTGACGTGGGGATGGGGACAGACCCCATGGTGACATGGGGACAGACCCCACTGTGACATGGGGACAGGGATGGGGACACCACTGTGACACGGGGATGGGGACAGGGACAGTACTGTGACACGGGGACCCCACTGTGACACGGGGACGGGGATGGGGACAAGGACCCCACGGTGACACAGGGACAGGGATGGACCCCATGGTGACATGGGGACAGGGATGGGGACAGACCCCATGGTGACATGGGGACAGGAGTGGGGACCCTGCTGTGACACGGGGATGGGGACAGGGATGGGGACACCACTGTGATGTGGGGACAGGGACCCTGCTGTGACACGGGGACCCTGCTGTGATGTGGGGATGGGGATAGGGACAGGGACCCCACGGTGACACGGGGACCCCACTGTGACACGGGGACAGGGACAGACCCCACTGTGATGTGGGGATGGGGACAGACCCCACAGAGATGGGGACAGGGACCCCGCTGTGACACGGGGATGGGGATGGGGACAGACCCCATGGTGACAAAGGGATGGGGATGGGGACACCACTGTGACATGGGGACCCCGCTGTGACATGAGGATGGGGATGGGGACCCCACTGTGACATGGGGACAGGGATGGGGACCCCACTGTGACATGGGGACCCCACGGTGACATGAGGATGGGGACAGGGACCCTGATGTGACACGGGGACAGGGATAGGGACAGACCCCACTGTGACGTGGGGACAGAGATGGGGACCCTGCTGTGACACGTGGATGGGGACAGACCCCATGGTGACATGGGGACAGGGATGGGGACACCACTGTGACACGGGGACAGGGACCCCGCTGTGACGTGGGGACAGGGGTGGGGACAGGGACACTGCTGTGACGTGGGGATGGGGACAGGGACCCCGCTGTGACGTGGGGACAGGGGTGGGGACAGGGACACTGCTGTGACGTGGGGATGGGGACAGACCCCACTGTGACATGGGGACAGGGATGGGGACAGAGACACCACTGTGACACGGGGACCCTGCTGTGACATGGGGACAGGGATGGGGACACCGCTGTGACATGGGGATGGGGACAGACCCCACTGTGATGTGGGGATGGGGACAGACCCCACAGAGATGGGGACAGGGACACCCCCGTCACACGGGGACCCCACTGTGACACGGGGATGGGGATGGGGACACTGCTGTGACATGGGGACCCCACTGTGACATGGGGATGGGGATGGGGACACCACTGTGACACGGGGACAGGGACCCCGCTGTGACGTGGGGATGGGGACAGACCCCATGGTGACATGGGGACAGACCCCACTGTGACATGGGGACAGGGATGGGGACACCACTGTGACACGGGGATGGGGACAGGGACAGTACTGTGACACGGGGACCCCACTGTGACACGGGGACGGGGATGGGGACAAGGACCCCACGGTGACACAGGGACAGGGATGGACCCCATGGTGACATGGGGACAGGGATGGGGACAGACCCCATGGTGACATGGGGACAGGAGTGGGGACCCTGCTGTGACACGGGGATGGGGACAGGGATGGGGACACCACTGTGATGTGGGGACAGGGACCCTGCTGTGACACGGGGACCCTGCTGTGATGTGGGGATGGGGATGGGGACAGGGACCCCACGGTGACACGGGGACCCCACTGTGACACGGGGACAGGGACAGACCCCACTGTGATGTGGGGATGGGGACAGACCCCACAGAGATGGGGACAGGGACCCCGCTGTGACACGGGGATGGGGATGGGGACAGACCCCATGGTGACACAGGGATGGGGATGGGGACCCCACTGTGACATGGGGACCCCGCTGTGACATGAGGATGGGGATGGGGACCCCACTGTGACATGGGGACAGGGATGGGGACCCCACTGTGACATGGGGACAGGGACCCTGCTGTGACACGGGGATGGAGACAGACCCCATGGTGACATGGGGACAGGGATGGGGACACCACTGTGATGTGGGGACAAGGACAGGGATGGGGACCCCGCTGTGACATGGGGACAAGGACCCTGCTGTGACATGGGGACAGGGATGGGGACACCACTGTGATGTGGGGACAGGGACCCTGCTGTGACATGGGGACCCCACTGTGATGTGGGGATGGGGACAGACCCCGCTGTGACATGGGGACAGGGATGGGGACAGGGACCCCGCTGTGACATGGGGACAGGGATGGGGACAGGGACCCCACTGTGACATGGGGACCCTGCTGTGATGTGGGGACAGGGACCCTGCTGTGACACGGGGATGGGGACAG